GCCCATAGGGTTAGACACAGTGGTGTCTAGCTTTGTATACAAGCCTATGCCTGGTCACACACTTTCCTTGTTTCCAAAAACGACCCATGTTATACCTGCAATAAACAAATACGGGAATGGTATGCCCATCCCCAGTCAGCTGTTTGCCCAAAGATGATATTAGGCCCCATTTCTCAGGTTTCTCAGTCTCTGGCTAATATATACCCTACCTGATCTGGTCACATATACTTCCTCAGGAGCAAAAGGGAAATCCCTTCTCTAAAATCTAAGACTTGGTGCCAGTTTGTGGCAGGGATAGGGTGGGATGGGTGAGCTATGTCTGTGGGTGAAGAGACTATTGACGGGCTCTAGTGCCATCTTCCTGGAGTCATAAAATGATAAGAGCTCTGTAGATTACTCTGTTTAGCCTACTCATTAAAGTAACGGGAATATCAAGAGCCAAAAATGTGAAATGGCTCCCCTAAGGCCACACAGCTAGTTCTGTCCTCTCACAAGAAAGAGAAGCTGAGCGCTCTCCCCAGTCCCTTGGGGCTTAGGGTAGGATAGAGCTCTTCTCCTCCAGACAGCCTCCTGACCTTCTGGAGAATGGGAGGAGGTGTTGTTGGCTTTCTATCCTCTTCAGACTGGCTGGAAGACAAGAGGAGCATATGACATCCTCTCCAGGCAGAGTGCTCTTCTCATCCTCTCTTCCCAAGGCTTAGAGCCCCGCTGGGTGTTCAAGAGTCCCTCACCATGCTGACACCACTCTGGAAGATGCCACCCTGCTCAGTGTGAGAGAGGATTCAAAACTACGGTAGAGGAGAAGGATAAGGAAAGACTCACCCATCTACCCCAAACCCCAATTATGGACTCCATTCCGACCCAGTTTGGGGTTCTTCTCACACACTCATACTTATCTACAAATAAAAACATGAGAATCCTGACTAGCCAGCAGGCAATATTTCCCTGGGCCAGAGCCCAATATCATGGTAAAGCCCTGGCATATGGGAGTTGCTCAGATCTGCAGCGAATGAATGAGTTGAACATTCATCAACATTCTCATGGAGACTGAGGCATGGTGTAGGCTCGCCCGAGAAATGATGATCCATCTGGTAGAGTATTGCCTGAAACTTGAAGTTCGGTTTTGCCCGAAACTGAAGCTCAGAGAGGTTATGTGACATACCTGGCATCACATGCCCAGCCAGTGGCAGAGCCAGAACCTGAACTCAAGCCTTCCGACTCCCAGGCCAGAGCTCTCCCAGCACCCGGCACTCCTGCTTCTCCTGGGTGGAGAGCTGCCTTTGGAGTGTCACTGGGTCAGGGGGTGGGAAGCAGCCTGGAGGCAGGCTGATGCAGGCACTGAGGGCTTTGGCTCGCCTTCCTCGGAGGTACTACTCCTGCCCAGGGCATCCTTGAGACTCGTAGGGCACAAGCCACGCTAGACTTTGTTCTTCAGAGTAGGCTCTTCTTTTCCATTTTCACTAAGGGTTAGGCCTAGAGTTTCCTGAAATGCAGAGTTGGATTAGATGAACTGGGTTCAAATCCCAGCTCTGCCACTTACTAGCTATTTGACCCTTGGGTAATAACTTCTCTATGCCTCCATGTCTTCAACCACAAAATAGGTGGACTACAAAGTAATGATAACTATCTCACAGGTTGTTGAGGGGCACAAGAGGCAATGCATATGAAATGCTTACTGCAGGGAATAGCAGATGTAAGCACTCACTGTAATCAATGATTCAACACATATTAACTGTGTGCCTCCTGGGTGCCAAGCACAGTGCTAGACACTCATAAATATTATTACAATTTAATGGAAGTACAAAGTATAAAAGAGTCAGGAAGAAAAAGAACAGTCAGTGCTGCCTAGCCAGGCTCTTGGAGCCTACCAGAAGAATGCTGTGTAATGGGCCTGTCTCCTCTCAAATGTGCATCTACATCTCTGAGACTCTGGATGCTTTGGTCCAAGGACCTACAGTAAAATCCTGCCTCGTTCTGCAAGGAGTGAATCCAGAGATGGTAGCACTGGGGAGCAGGGCTCTGAGAGCCCAGGCCTGCTCAGGAAAGGACGCAGCTAGATCACAACCTCCCCATCTCCTCTGACATGAAATTCCCTCCTCCTCAGCTGCAGGGCACTGAGCATTAGACGAGATCTGCCCAGGCACAGGATATGAGAGCCCTATGCCCACTGGAGGAGAAGATTACTTCACTGGTAAATCCTGCCTCCCCTATAATCCTAGTGCTCAGAGAAAGAATGCTAAGCTGAATTCCCCACTAACCAGCTCGGATCAATTTCACGTTGGAGCAACTGCCCAAGCTTTCCTCCTCTTCTTCGTTTTCCTCACCTCTTTGACATGATTCTCTCAATCTTCCCCCTCAATTCAGTCAACATCATTTAATGAGAAATGTCCCCCACTCATACTACCAATTCCTCAATCCTATCTCCTGAGAATATTCCACTCCTGCTTTGCCTTCCACCAAGGAGAACTGGGGACCCTGTACCATTTCATGATTGATTATAAACAAGGTTCTAGCTCGACCTGGCAACACCTTAGAGGTTCAACAGAAACACCTTTGAAGAATCAAGGAGCATATTTTCATGAAAGCTAGCCTGATGAAATGAATATAAAGCCTGATGTTAACGCGCGCAACTAGAGGGCCTTCAGCCTTTAGAGTAGGAATTGGGGCCTCTATTAACAGGAGGGATGAGAAGAGTCTGCAGTGCTGGCAGAGCCCCTTTGTACAGTCTGTGCACTGCACAACTCCAGGGGTGCCATTCACATTGTGCCATCCCCAAAGTTATGCAATGCAATGGCTCTGAGCTAGCAGCTTCCTGACTTTCTGCAGATGCTGCCAACAGATCCCCAGAGCCAGACCCTCTTGCCCAGCCTTCCTTGTCCTCTTTCTCTCTCTGATCCTGTCCTGCAGCCAGGGCTACCTTAAACGGGGTTTTAGAGGCCAACCAAAGTGATACATGCCCTAAAGCTTTCCATGGATCCTATGGGGGCAAGTCCTGCAGAATTTCAAATCTTGTGCCTTTCTCCTTATGAGCGTTTCAGGAAGGCAGAAGTGGTTGGCACCAATACAGGGAGACAGGTGGGCAGCCCTGTGCCAAGGGTCAAGCAGCCAATCATTTATCCTCACCCACAGAGTTGGCTATTGGAAGCAGGTGGAAGAAGGGAGGTGGGGAGGCATCTTTTATTTTTAAACCTTTACTGTTCTGATTAAGCATTTCTTTTCCCTCTGACCTTCATTGGTCCCATTTTGGAAGATAAAAACAGCCAGTAAGTCTGAGGGAGGCCTGGACCAGTGACACATGGATTCTGGATGGGCCAACCTGCTGTCACCCCCTTGCTGCTATGGCCAGCCTGCTTCCCAGGCAGTGGCAGGCGACTGCAGCTAATCTGTGCTGGGCCTGCAGGGGCAGCGGAAAAGGCTTGGCTGGAGCTCCACGCTGCCTTGGCTGGCCCCACTCTGGGGCCAAGGCCACTCACCAGAGGACCTGGCAGCACGCGACTCCTTCTGATGAATTACAGCCTACCAGCATGACTTTGGAGAGAAACAGTCGCTTCTCTCCTGATAACAAAAAATCCATATCTCTGTGTCCTCCCAACATTTGGCTGAATATCATATGAAGCATGCATGTTTTAAACACATTTCTAAGGAACTTCTGGATGTACAGTTTACGATAAGATGAGAAAGGTCACGGTGTGGCCTGTGTTGTACTAGGTAGGTGCGATGAGAGAATATGGGGAATGAGGGGCAAGAACTGGGGTCCTAGAAGAGGCCTTCTGGGAACTGGCGTCTGAGAGCACTGGGTCGCCCGGACCAGCAGTTGTCTCCACTGACGCATCCGGGCCCATCTTCCACCTCACACACCCTCCCATCTCTGGGTCCCAGCCACGCCCTCTGCCCTCCCCTCCTCACTCTCACTTCCCTCTCTGGGAACACCACCTCCGGTTTCCCCTCTGATCTACAGGTGCCCGTAAACAAAGTGGTGCAGCGAGGCCGGCTCCTCCGCAGCCACCTTCCCAACCCCCACCCCGCGAAGTTCCGCCCAAGGTTAAGCCAGGGTTCCGGCGGCCATCAGCGGAGGGCCCCCAGACCCTGCTGGGCTGTCCCGTCTGCTTTTCAAGCCCAGGGGGCTGTGGAGTCTTTCCGCCGTATTGGAACCTCTCCGTCAGCTCGAGGCTGGGCTCCTCTGTTAAAGGTTGTTCCAGGAAAACGAGCCTCCCTTCTTCGTGCTCACACCACTCCGCATGGGCACCCCAGACCTGCCCTGGAGGCCACCCGGGGGTGGCCTCGGGTATTTTCAACGCCATCACGCGCTCCTCCTCCCTCCATCACGGACACGCCTTTCACCGTCTCTCCTTATGAGGATGGCTAGGACCCTCCCCATCCCCCAACTCAAAGCCCCAGCCAAGGGTCCGGTCCCCTCCGTGCCGGTTTCCCCCAAAGCCCAAGGTGGGAACAGAGGGCACTCGCACAAGACCACGCTATCTTCTCCACCAGCCCCACCCAGACCTGCCCCTTCCGCAGTGCCCCGTATGTGGAGCCTGCAGCATCCACCCCGCTGGGTGCACTCCTAGGGGAGGCTCACCAAAAAAGGGGGAGGCAGAAGCCCGGCCTCAGCCGGGCCCCCCCACCTCCCGCCCTGCACCCCCCACCTGCATCCTGCACCCCTCTCCACGCCCAGCCTGCGGGAGAGACCCTGTAGCGAGTGCGCGTCCCCTAAGCGACTCCTTGCCTCGGCGGGTGTGAGACTTTTGGGGGGTCTCAAGTCCACCAGCTTCCAGGCCAGCGGAACCCAAAGAGGGGGCGCCATGCTGAGAGGGCGACGACTAGCCGGAGCCTGCTGGGTGCGCGTTGTTTACTCGCAGTGCAGTTACTCGCAGGCTGGGTTACAGCAGCCTCTGGCTGCGATGTGCACCCGCCGCTCCCCGCGCGGGGGTCTCCACTCCAAAGCTCCCTCCCCAAACCCATGTCCCCGGCCCTCAGCCCTCGTGGCCCTGCAGACTCACATCTCGGAAGCGGTTCCAGTGCTTGATCTTGCCGCTGTACTGAGAGATGGACGACAGCCATTGCTCGTCCTCCATGAAATTGCCGGGGGTCTCGCTCTCTTTGAGCCCTTTGGCGTCGCCTTCAGCCAGGGCGGCCGCGGCGAGGAGCAGCAGCGGCAGTGCCAGCGGTCCGCAGCCTGGGGCATGCATCCTGGTCTGGGTTCGACCTGGGGGGTCTTGACTTCTGCAGTATTTTAATGTCCTTCCTCCCACGCCACAGTTGGCAAAGCAAACGCTGTCGTCTTCCTCAGCCCTTCTCCTTCGGTCTGACTCCGGTGACAGACGGATGGATAGTGGGTCGCGGCTGAAATGTGACCTGGTTAGGAGATGCACTTGTCTGAAAAAGCCCAGCGCGGGGAGAGGGAGAATCAGAGAGGCTGCGCCAGCAGGGGCCGTGTCTGTGACTGTACCATCAGCATCACGTTTGACATCATCATACCTGGTTAAAAAAAAAAAAAAAGGAGGGGGTAGATTTCAAAGGGAAGCGCTAGATCTGAGTGCCCAATGCCAGCCAGCCGCAGCAGAGCCCAGCCCAGCCCAGCACTCAGGGAGTTGCAAACCAAGGAATCCAAACCCGGGGCGGCCCTGTTGTCTTTCCAAGGGTGAGGAGCAAGAACAGCGCAGGAGGCTCCCCAGGGAGGATGGGAGAGGATGGGAGTGGAGGAAGACACAAAATTCTCCGGTTACAAAGCCAGCCAGGCTCAGGTGTCTAAAAGAGGATTTAGCCTCAGACACTCTTCCTCTCCCCTTGCCTCCCACCCAGAGGGGCCTGAGCCACAGCCCTGACAGCTGGCTTCTTGCGAGTTATGGCTCTACAGTAATGAGTGGCTTCGTGAAGACAAAAGCCATATAACACCTGGCTGCCTCAGAACTATTGCTCCCTAGCCTCATAAGCTCTTTTCAAGGGAAGCCCTGAGCACTGAATAGCTGGTAGAATAGGCATATGTCCTCCTCCCTAAGCAGCTGTTTAAGGGCTGTCACCCCTTTTGTTACCTCTTCCTAGAGCAACCCTAAAAGGCAAATGTCTGACCATTCATCTGCCTTGAAGGTGCAAATTTGGAAAACGCCCATTTGCTCATGGTTTTGACAAGTTGATTTTAATAAGCTACTGGGGAAGAGAGGGGCTGGTTTCGTTCGAGGTGTTTAGGTTTTTGTTAAAATTGTGACCCTTATCATTGCCTGTAGAAATGTGCTGACATATCAGCTGGGAATGCTGTGCACAGTTTCAGGATCAGAGCAGAAATAAGGTGAGGTTCACATTGCAAATAATTTGAAGAGGAAACAGAATTTGACAGGACAAAACACTGAACTTTTGGGACCCAAGCCCTAGATTGTGGTTTTATTAAAAAAAAAAAAAAAAACTTGGTTACCGCAATCTTAAAAAAACAAATCAAAGGCAATGAAAAACATGATCTTAATCAGTAGGAAAAACACAGGTTATAAGGTTCATAGTCACTCTGAGGTCAGGCCTTGGAATTCTAACTGCATCAATGGCTTGGGCTGGAGTCCCCTTGGGGAAACAGAAAACAATAGCTTCCTTTCCGTGTTTTCTTTGTCCTTTGCAGTTGGACTTGGAGGTGGTGCTGCAATGAGGCCCTGGCCATTAACACCTTCATTTCACAGAAAATAAAGCAGCCTTGCTGGGAGGTATAGCAGCACTGTATAGAAGAGCGCAGCTTGTTGTCATATAGACTGGGGGTGGAATCGCGCTTAATAGCTAGGTTTTAGGCAAATTACCTAATCTATTTTCTATCTCTAAATCAATGATAATATCACCTACCTCAAAAGATTGCTGTGAAACTGATGCAAAATTAGATACTAATTGCCTGAGCATAGTTGGCCTTTAAAAATGTTAGTTCTTCTTCCCTCAGGTTGGGAAGAGAAGGCTATGATGCCCCATAGTTCTGAAGATGTACTAAAAGCTGACATCTTTCCCAACATCTCAATTCTAGTCTTTTAGCAAAGCTAATTACAGGTCTCCAAGGCACTGAGGAGGTAGATTCTAGATAGAGCTCTCCCATTCCAGCACTACCTTATGAAGTCTCTGGTCTTCTACAATTACCAAAGTTGCCCCAAAAGTTTGGAAAGGCATTGGCAAGATGCCCATCAAAAAGACAATAGCTGTTTCCAGACAACTGAACGTCAAAATATTTCCCACACTCCTGGGCAGCAACTCCAGTGGGACTTGCCTTTCAGCAGCATCGTAAAGCTGGGTCACACAGCCCTGTGCTGAAAGCAAATCGCCAACAGTGTAGGACTGTTAGTTAAACCAAGACTAAAGCTATTTAGGAAAGAGAATCCAAATTTCCAGATGACGGATAAAAGAGTTGTAGAAAACAGGCAATAATTATAGTTTATAACAAAGAAAAGGTTTTCCTAAATTTTGAGAGTACTAGCAGGTGACGCCTTTCAAACCAATGGGCCCAAACATTGCTGGGTTTATTTGTCAAATGGTGCAAATGTTTTATGCATTTTTCTGTTTGTATTTCATATTTAGCAATACACAATGGAGAAACCTTAGTTTCCAAATAAGAAACTTATATTTAACCACATCTTCAAAACCATTTAATCCCATTTCCAGATGATCTCACAAGCATAAATGACAAATACACAAAAATATTCAAACCAGAATTGTTGAATAGCCAAACCTGGAGACCAGTGCACTGTCTATTAGTCAGGGACCAACTAATGAAATTACAATAGATACACACAATGGGATATTGTGTAGACATTAAAAAATGATGTAGATCTGAAGCTAATGACAGCTAATGTGATCCACTATGTATTGCTTGTTGAGAAAAGCTCATTACATAGGTCATATATAATATCATTCCTTGGAAGAAAGTACAGTGTAGCAGTTCTCAAAATTTCTGGTCTCAGGAGTCCTGTACACTCAAAAATTATTGAGGGCCCCTAAGAACTTTTGTTTATGTGAGATATAGATATAACTATAATTTACTGTACTTGAAAATAAAACTAAGGCTTCCTCTCAATTTTGCTGTGAACCTAAAACTGCTCTAAAAAAATCAAATCTTTTTTAAAAAACGAAGAATTTAAAAAATTTATTAAAAAAATAACAATGAACGTATCACATATTAACAAAATACATTTTAAGAAAAACGACTGCATTTCCCCCAAAAAAGATTAGTGAGAAAAGTAACATTGTTTTACATTTTTTCAAATCTCTTTAATGTCTGTCTCAAAAGAAGTCAGGTAGATTAGCTTCGGCATTATAGCAAGTGCCTTAGTTTGCCAGGGCTGCCATAACAAAACACCACAGAGTGGCTTACACAACAGAAATTTATTTTCTCACAGTTATGGAGGCTAGAAGTCCAAGATTAAGGTGTTGGTAGGTTTGGTTTCTCCTGAGACTTCTCTTCTTAGCTTGAAGATGGCCACCTTCTCACTGTGTCATACAGGTCTTTCCTCTCTGTCCGTGCGTATGTCTGATATTTCTTTGTGTGTCCAAATTTCCTCTTCTTATAAGGACATCAGTCAGGCTAGATTAGTGCCCACCCTAACAGCCTCAGCCTCATTTTAACTTCATTACCTCCTTAAAGGCTTTATATCCAAAATACTGCCACATTATGGGCACTGGGTGTGAGGGATTCAACATATAAATTCTCAGGGGACACAATCCAGCCCATAACAACAGGTAGAACTTTAAATAGCTAGTAAGAGCACAACAGAATTACTGAGAGCCAATTGAGTTAATCTCTAAAACTACGTATACCCTAAACCTTCCAACTTACAATATCCTAGAAAATACAAAAATATACAAGCACATATGGCATTAATCATCAAGAATGATTATGTCACCATGTCATGTAGCCTGTGGGAAACTCCACTGTAGCCTCGAGAGAGAATGAGAATAAAAAAAGCAAATAACTAACACCTTACTAGTTGTATGAAAACAGTGTGGACCTCACACGTACCCTTAAAAGGTTCTAAGGGGCTCCCAGGGGTCCACAGATCACATTTTAAGAACCAATGGTACAAACTGTATCACTTCAGGCAAATCTCTTAATTTTGTTAAGCCTCAGTTTGTAAAATGAGGATAATGATAATAGCAACTGAAGTGGGCTACTGTGAAGATTAAATGAGTTAATATACAAATAAATAACAAATCCTAGTGTTCAGCTAATTTTAGCTGTTATTTGTGAAAAATTACTTAACAATATGATGTGTTTAAATGCATGGAGAATAGTAACCTCTGAGTGATGAAATTTATTTTTTAAACAAATATTTAAATTGAAGTATAAAATACACATTGAAAAAAAGTGTATAGATTGATTTTTCACAAAGTGAACTAATTTTATCTCTGTTTAAAAGAACACTTTATTAACAACAGAAAACACTATTATTAAAAACAACCATAATAGCAACCCCTTTTCTCACCTATAGCATCCTTGGACTTGTATATCCATGCTCCCTGTAGGCATCAAGGTGGAATCCAAGAGGTGTTTTTCAACTCAGTGGCCTCTGGTGCCATCATGTTCCCTTAGGCTCCAGGGAACGAGCACAGTGTAGTGCAAGTGCAAAACTGAACAAAGCTTTCTGTCATTATGAAGCTGGATTCTCATCAATGTCCTAGGAAGTAAACTCTGAAATTCACTTAAAAGATAACTCTTGTGAGTAACATGTTTCATGTCTCTATCATGGATATAAAGTCCATCTGTGCCGCCTCAAAAAAAAATCAAAATTATTCTCCATGACAAAATTCCTAATATAACAACACAGATCTTGTGTAATAATTGTAGTGAGAGAGTCTTTTTCCCCTCTTCCAGGAATTGAGGGCAAACTCAGTGCCTAAAAAAACGGCTGGAGTTATAGTAAGCACAATTTAACTCTATTTCAATGCAGAATGATTTGCAAAGTGGTAATATTAAGGTAGATCTGATTATAAACGTAGTAGCAAATCCTCCAACACTTACCCCATTATTCACTGAGAGGGGACCCTGAATCGTAAAAAATTCTTATATCTCCACCCAAAATTATTTGCTTTCTGCCATTCTTGCTCTTTCATAAAGGTTCTATATCAAAACTGTTATTCTCTCTTCTACAACAGCAGAAAATTGTATTTTCTTTAGAGTTATAGCATCTCAAAAGTTTGTCTGTGGACTTCTAAATAGAAAATTTTAAAGATAAGTTAAATTTTTTCGCCAATTCTGCCAATACCTACCAATTTACAAAATTCTAGAAAACATAAAAAATATAAGCACACACTCCATTAACCATCAGAGAATGTCACTATGTCACAGAGACGTGAGAAAAATCCACTATACAGTCATGAGAGAATGAGAATGAAAAAGGCAAATTACCTATGAAAAATTACTTAACGATATAATATGTCCTTAAATGCACAGTTACCTCTAAATTCTAAATAACTGACTTTCCAATTCTTTTTAAGAATTTAGTATTTGATATAGGAAGTTACAGTTTCCAAAGACAAAACTTTAAAAAAAATTATTAAAAATATAAAGTCATAAATCTCTGACATCCAAAAGATGTCTTTATCTCCTGGCCAAGGCTGCCCAGTGGCAGCTGTCAGAAAGAATCCAGTAAGAGAGAAGTAGCACCAAGATGAGAGAAGGGCATTACCCCCTCAGTCGACTTCCCCATTCAATACAGTCTCTGGGAGCATTCATTCCCATGTGTCATCTAACAGAGGTAAGCGAGGTAAAATCTCAAATTAAAAATGAATATTACTAGTAGAAAGTTTTCTGGAAAAAAAACAAACCTGCAGGCACCAGTATATAAATTCTGGATTAATGATACAGCTATGTCAGTGAATATGTGATGGCAACAATGTATCCCAAACATACACTAAGGGTGTCAAACTATAAAATTATATGATCATATTAAAAGAAAAACACGGTTCCTTTGAAAATTCATTTATTCACAAATGCTCTGTGCAGTCACAATGATAAACAAATCTGAGTGTTATATACAGCTCTCACTATGTAGTGACCTTAACACAAGTGTTGAGAATCAAACTTCTTAAACAGAACGTAAGAATCAAGATAAGAACAAGGAATGAAGGAGAGAGAAAGAAAGAGAGGATGTGGGGGAAGAAAGGATGTGAGGAGGGGGAGAAGAAAGGTGACAGCGAGGCTGGAGCTCCCTGGAAGCAGAGCAGCGGCAGGACTGATGGGTGGGGAAAAGCTGTACCAGAAGCTCTTTTCCTCTGTTGGTCTGTGGCAAGGAAGGACTACCGTCTGCAGCTGACATTTTCCCAGGGAACTATGCACGTATCACCATTGTTTCTACGCTGCTGCCCTGAGAAGTAAACATAAAAGGGCTACAATACTCCAACTACATCAGTGGCACGGGAAGGAAGGGTTACATAGGCTGAAGGAACAAGAATCTAACAAACCTAAAAAGTTACCAACTTCAGAAGAAAAAGGACAGAGCAAAATAAAAGGTAAAAGTTTTAACAGTTATTTTTCTGAAGATAAAATCCTGAGTAGTAAAAGAATTGAAAGCAGGGTCTCAAAAAGATATCTGTACATTCACGTTCCATAGAGCACTTCACAACAGCCAAGAGGTCAAGGAACCCAAGTATCCATTGATGGATGAATGAATAAACAAAATGTGGTGTATACATAGAATGGAATATTATCCAGCTGTAAAAAAGAAAGGAAATCCTGTCACATGCTACAACATGGATGAATCTTGAAGACTATGTTAAATAAGCCAGTCACAAAATGGAAAATACTGTTATGATTCCACTTATATGAAGTTTCTGTAGTAGTCAAATTCATAGAAACAGAAAGTAGAAGGGTGGTTACCAGGGGCTGTAGGAGAGGGAAATGAGTTTCAAATTTACAAAATGAGAAAGTTCTGGAGATGTTTTACAACAATGTGAATATACTTAACACTACTGAACTGTACATTTAAAAATGGTTATGATGGTAAACTTTATGTATTTTTCACCACAGTAAAAAAAATAAATTCTGGGTCGTGATTAAAATTTAGGGTATAAGGGGAAGGGGAGAAAAAAAATCAAACCTTCTAAAAATTGCACACATTTGATCTAGGTGGAGAGATTAATAAAACCATATGTCTTTAATTCTCTTTTAAAGTACCAATACAAAAGACTTTAACGACTGAAGCAAAATCAGTAGGTTTATAAGAATAATGCGAATGGGCTTCAGAGGTCCTTTTCCAGAGAAGAGCTTCGGAAAGAAAGGTAGACTCTGCAAAAGATGAACAAACTGAGGGTTACAGGCACAGTTCTCTTTGTGCTCACAACCATCCTGGCTAACAGTCTAATGACTGAGGACAACCATTAGAGATCAAGTGTCCATGCAGAACCATCCAGGATAGTCACCATCCAAATTTTCACATCCCTCCTTGGCAATTAAAATGAAAATACTATACTTTCCCTCAGCACCTTGTCAGGATGTTCAATTTCTATTGCTTTTACCTCAGGAGAAGTCAATTTGTCCACAGGAGGCATAATTTCCAAAGCTGTCTACTGAGAATCTCTGAGAGATGTGTATTGAATTGAGCTTTAGAGTACCAAAATAAAAGTTCTCAAATAGCTGAAAAGGAAAAAGAAAAACACAGAATGAATATCAAAAAAAAAAAAAAAATTACAAATGAAAATATTAAACATCAGGTTCTCTTATAAAAACACCTCAACAATCTAAACAAACCTATTTTTTCTTTTTAGCATTTATTCTGAAAAATGATCCTAGAGAGGTGGGATAGGGGAGTGAGAAAAGAATAGCAGCTGTAAAAAAGAAAGGAATTCTCTCTGGTTAATTTTAAAGCCTCCTCTGAGAAAATGCACTAGAGAAAGAGATCTGAAAAGTCAATTCCAAAATTTATCTATTGAGCTGATATGACCAAGAACCTGTAACAAACATCCTGGGCCTAACTCACAGGGCCAAACAAAGCTGCTTCTACAACTTTCAGTTACTATGTAGAATCTTAGTTTTGTTACAGCCCAGATAAACTTTGATATAATACATTCTTCTACCTAGTCAACAACATTTATTAGAAGCACTGACTAAAATAGAAGGTTCCTGACCCACAAATGATTCTGACAACCAGTGTTTTATACACACAAAACAGCCAGAGCAACACTTCTATTGGATATAACATGTACAAATGATAATATTTATCGAAAACCTTTCATTAGACTTGGATTCAAGCCAGCATCTTAAAGTAAATGCTCTTTACACAATTCTTCACTTTAAAAGCTTTCAAGTATGTCAGAGGGAGGGATAAGCCAAACTCTGAGAGAGACCTGCTCTTGTGATTAGCACATTTATAACAGAGACTTTAAAATGACATTAGAATTCATCCCAGTAAAAAGAGTTGCTCTTTCTTAAACTGTCAGTAAGATCTCAAGAAAGCCTTTCGATATTCATACCAACAATGTCTGAGTAGAACCTACCGGTAGGACCTTTGCCCATTAGCAAGTGGCTGTCTCTTCTCTTATTTTTATACTACCTCACAGCCATGAACTTCAGCCACTGTCACCTTTCCTCTTCCTGCAATTAATGGCCTAGCAAAATGCTTGGGGTTCATTAAAGGCTAACTTTATAAAAGCCCAGTAAATATTGATTCTTCAACATGACATCAACTTGACCCCAAAGATCTATTTAGAGGTTGTGTGCTGCATTGTCTTGTCTTTCAGAAAGGTGATCAGCTCTCGTCTGCATTGATTTAAACAATTAACTGCTCTTCCTGACTTTGGTAGCCTGTTCAAACCATATCCACCCTTTTGTGTAAAGAAATACTGCCCGAAAAGGTTATCTACTAATCCCTTTTCTTAATGTTAATTTGAAGTGAAAGCCATGTCAATAAGACTGGCAGATTTACAACTTTGCAAACTGAAGCCTTCTTGGTACAAAGAAGACATAACCAAAGAAACAATAGATGAGATAAAAACAAACTAAACGGCAACTGTACTTTCGACAAATTACTTTCTAAAGATTATCAGTCTATAGGTCTTTTACATTCTCTTTTGTTTGTTCTCTGTGTTTCCAAGTGACAGAGACACCACAGCTAGAGCTGGAAAGTGACCTACCTACCTCTGACTTTACTTGGCAAGTACAATGTAAGACTTAGCAAAGAGGAGGAGGACGGGCAGCGTGAAGACAGAAATGGACATGGTGGGCCAGGCCAAGTAGACTAGGTTAAGATGTTTGAAGGGTTCCTAAAAGCAGTGAGAAAGACTAAGGCTAGAGAGATAACGAGGGTAAATCAGATTAAGGGGTATACGGATCAGGTTCAGAAGTCAGACTTCATTCTAGATAGCCGGGGACCAGTGAAAGCTTCTGGGAAGGTTGGAGGTCCAAGATGAAAACACGTTTTAGGGAAATTAATCTAGGTATGGCGCTGACTGGAGAAAGGAACAAGAGAAAGAAAGAAAAGGAAACTAGAACAGCAGTTTAGTCATGCGCTAGTGACTCTTGACTAAAGTAGTAATGGGCCTGGAAAGATTGGAGCAGATGTGAAATACCATGAATGAAACATAAAAGATTCAGTGGCTTTCTGAATGAGGGGAAGGAGATAAGAAAAGGAGATGAGAAGAATCATGGATGACTGCGTAAATGGCATATATGAAGGTACCATTAAAAGCAACAGAACATTTCTGAGAAGGAGCTATTGTTACCAGCCCAGGGGTCCTTGTCTCTCAGAAATCAAGAGGATGGGTGAAACAGTTTTGCAAAGACAAAAGTTTACTAAAGCAAAAGCTTAATGTACCAAGGGAGCACATCTGAAAGAGAATGAATGTAACTTCCAAAGGTTTACAGGTATAGCATATTTACAGGCACTCTGAGGGTAGGGGTCATCCCTCATCTTCCTTCCCTCCCTCCGCAACAATGTAGTGGTGGTTCTTTTTTAGCATATGCGTAGTATGACTACATACTACTTCATGTGTTGCATGTTTCATTAACATTTTAAATCTCCACCCTGGGCATGATTTAAATCAGAGAAAGGTCACCTTAAGGACACTCTTGGGTTTTACTGCGCATGGGTGGTGATACTGAACATCCCTTGTTGCTGGTATGCCTCCCCCAGGCTCCTTGATGCCATTGGTGGTACCCTAGGGTTAATATTCTTGTGAAACTTAATCAGGCTTCAGCTGACCTTTCTGACTAACTTAATAGCAGGAAGTTGCACTCCTGCCTATTTTATGGAAAAACAAAAACGAAATTCAGGTACGTTTACACACTCATGGCTGAATCTTTAGTTTGTATGTGTCCCAAGCCCTTCTCCAACCTAGGGTTTTCCTGGTATGCTCTGAGAATAAATATTAAACACATGAAATCTGTCTTATCATAAAAGCTTTATTACTATCCATTTTAAAACTGAGTAGTAGTTCTTTATATATTAGGGAAATGAACCCTTTGTCTGTTATAAACGGCAAATATATTTTCCCCCAGTATGTCATTTGTTTTTTGACTTTGCTTTTTACCACATCAACTTAAAATTTTAGGAACTCAAATGTATCATAACAGGAGATTTTTAATTCAAAGTTACCTATTGCCAATATTGTTACAGGTTAAGAGATCAAGGTAAATAATACATATGTAAGTACCGACAACAACACTAATAATGATCGTAACAGTCAACATTTATTGAGCAAGCATGTGTGCCAGGCATTATGCTGCGGGATCTATGTGATTATCTCACTGCATCCTCACAATCCCAAGAAGCAGATACTATTATTAATCCCCAGTTTATAGTTGAATCTGAGGTTTAAAAGGTTTAAGTAACTTGCCCAAGGATACACAAATAAAAGGGTGAAAAATTGAGATTCATAAAGCTGAAAAAGAAAGAAAATTGAGATTCAAACCCAAGCAGCCTAACTACAGTCTGAGATCTTTAACCCCTGCACTCTCCGGCCCCTTCCTATATACGTGGCGCCTCTTAAACATGGCCCTATTTAAGCCACAGAGAGTAAGCTTGACCCACACAACTCCCAAAGACTGAAATAAACATATTTCTTTCACTTGTTATTCTTACTTTCACTGCCACCTGGACCTGGTTTAACAATGGAATGGCTCTAGTTCAGCTGGAGGAATTTTAATTGAATTCTCGATGAAAATAAGCACAAATCAACTAAATGACTCCATTTAATTAGGGAGCTGAATGGGGAAGGAGGAAAAACCTTAAACTACAAATTTAAAATAAGAAAAAAGAAACTTGGTTGCTCTTTCTAGCCTAAAGTAGCTCATGAGGAGCAAAGTGATCTATTGTTTAGAAAATAAAAGCCCTAACAGGAACAATTTAAATTAAAAAAGAATCACATAAATCATGTTGATTCTTTTCTCAGTTGTTTTATAACAATTTCCTTGGGAATTTTGAAACTTAGACCATTTTCTTCCTGAAAATATTTCTCTCTGACACACACACATAGAGCTCTGTTGTGTTGGAAGCCAGCATTTTAAAAAGCCCTGCTGTAAAGGAACATAACAATGAACAGCTACACGAAACTACAAAATATTTCATAAGAAAACAAAAATAGAATTTAAGACTGTCAATATTTGTGATATGACTTGTAAATAATGTTAAAAAGTAAACAACAGGCCCAAAATGGAGTCATTTGCCCCCATGACAACAAACCAAGACTTAACTGCAGTTTTGACCTGTCCCAGGAATGTGACCACAGAGCAGTGAATCTGAAACTTTCTGATTAGCACTAGTGAGGTAATCTGCAAGATAAGACTCCCACTGTTCCCTTCTCCCCCAAAAATGATGTCCTGGCCTCAGACAATTCTTTCTTTTCTTTTGCTAATAACTTCCTTGCCCCACTCTCCTCCTGCCTATAAAAACCTTTCATGTTGTACAGCTTCTCCCAGCCCCTACTTGCCAGAGGCGATGCTTCCCGAAGCATAAATGGCTCACAAAAGTCAATTAGATCTTAAATTTACTTGACTGATTTTTCACCTTTTAACAGTAGTAGTAAGTACTGATTTAGACAATTTAAGAAGAAAATTTTAAATCTAAGGAAGTATGACATTTGAAAACCATTATGCACAGCTATCCTTTACTGAATACTCACAGCATCTTTAGAAAATTAAACAAACTTTTCCTATAACCAAGTAAAGAGAGAAATATGGATCATCAAAATAAGAGGTTTTGGGTCAAAACCAAGGCTTCCCTGAAAGAAAATTGCAAGATAAAATCCAACCATCCTGCTGTCTGTCTCCTGCTCACATAATCTCTGAAGCCTACCATTTTTGGTTTGTACATTTTTGTTTCCTAGGGAGAACACAGAGGGAATTATTGATTTCTAGTAATGTAGTGGTATACACTGAAGGAAAACAAACAGCTAGATTTAAAGGCTAACTGTGGTCATTTTTCCTTGTATCCATTTCAGAGCTTCTACTCCTTCCTCACAGGCTCTGTGACAACCATCGAAGACCAGAAATAACTCCACATGTGACTAGGCTGCAAAAATGAGACTGAAAATCTCAGAAAGAGGTGGGGAGGAGGGAGAAGAAACTTCTCATATCTGTAACCTCAAACCACAAAGCTGAATGAATGGCCAATCTTCAACAGCATAATGTTGGAGATCTCT